ATTCACAGTAAAAAACAAGTTGTACGCTGGTCTGTTCGCACCGCCGGTCCTTGACTATTTTTTAGTCATTCCTATGCAACATATGCATAATTTTTGTCTGTAAGCATAATATATATAGTTATCTACATGTTATTATGATAAATTGTACAAAGGGTGTTTTATGCAGTTTGCGTGGTTGCTTCTGAGGTGTCTATTATCAGTATTATCACGTTCCCGATACTAAAACAGCGTACTACTTTTTTTTTTCAAACAAACTTTCTTTTTATTGTGAAAAATCAATCATTCATGCTATCCATTTTTACAATTCTTATATGTATATTAACAAAACACTACAGTTTTTCAATGTAAGTCATCAAGCAAAAACGTATTGATAGTATTTCAAATTAGAAAAATTAAAATTGTTTTGTTTTCCAATCGAATTTATTTTGGACAGAAAAATTCTCCGATCGATTTTTTCTTTATTGCTTCTTGAAACAAAAACTAATTTTTAGAGTTTCTCAAAATAAGAATTTAAGTCAATTATTTGTGCCTACGAACAAAAAATTTTGTGCAATTCGTATTTATTATTTACGATGGCTGAATATGAATAACTGTATCTAAAAAATTTATTTTTCCTATATCAGGCATTTTTCAGATTTGGGTGTGTCCTCCGTAGAAAAATAGTGTTCACCACATAAGCGCCATCGAACTGTGGCTACATTACGTCTTTTGGGCCTTGTTTCGCAGGTCCCTCGGGCCGGTTGAGAGGGCTGATGTCCCTTCAGTCTAAAACCAGTATTTGGCACATAAGTGCCATTTACACAGGGCTATTTTACGGTCCCTTGGGCCCTGCTTCGTGGGACCATCGGGCAGTAACATAACCCTGGAGGCGAAATAGTAGTTTTCATTGGATAAGCGCCATCGCCTCTGGGGCCATTTGGCGACCCAAGAGTCCGAAAGGTTGCCCAGGAGGGTTGGCATTTATGTGGTGAACACTATTTTTCTACTAAGGGCACACGTGACCCTTAAAATCGCCTGAGGTAGGAAAACTACCATTTCTTACCATGGGCAGAAAGGTCAACTGCCACTTGCGCTCCTTTAATAACTTTGAGACAACAGGCAGAAAAGTTTTGTTAACCCTCTGGGCCCAAAGTAATTTACTGAAAGCAAAGTATGCCCATGGGCGCAAAATTCCACTTGACAAAAGTCAAAAGTATCTATTATATGTGTGATGTATACGTTGATTTCTCTAAAAAATAAAAGGGTTTTTACATAATACTACTACTAATGCCAGTCACAAGCTTTCGAGAAAACAACGGTGGCGTTAAAAAAAATGATTAGATCGAAAGTATAACTTTACTTACGTATCTTTTAGTTTAGGTAAAAAATAAGATAATTTCATGATCATCGACGTATTCTTAATTATACAGCCATGGATGTTTTAATAAAACCTTATAGTTATTTTGCTTCAAGCGCTTTTAACCCTTATTTGCGAGCGGACATATAATATACCATCACTTAATACATCTGAGATTGGTTAAACTAAAAGATTGGAATGATAATTATTTGGAACGGATTTTTATTAGTATTTTTTTTTTTTTATTATACAACCATGCTGTTATTTCCTTAGTATTTTTTTTTCAAAGTAAAAGTAAAGTAAGACTTGAATTTCTTCTCAATGCAGCACACGCTACATACCAAAAGAACCTTTACATCTCTCCCCTCTGGCGAACTCGTGATTTTTCAGAGATTTTGATGTATACACATAGAATAAGTGACATAATGTGCCAATACTTTAAATATGCTATCATTCTTAAATTACTGTACTTTGCACATACTTAACAACAGTTACTGAGTTAGTTTAAATATGTTACTGTTGACTCTCTTCACAATAATTTAGTTAATAGCTTTTTTAATAATTTTTTTGTAAAATTGATAGCTTACTGCAGTGACTGTTTATCATTTTGACAACCATGACAGCCTATCACGAGATATTTTCCTTTCATCATCGGTTTGTAGTGCTTTGGGTTTGATTGTCGAAGTAATGGTCAGTCATTGCACTGAGCTACATTGTACTGTACTGTACTGTACTGTACTGTACTGTACTGTACTGACATACCATTGAAATCGATGTCTCTAAAAAAAAATTTATATTTTAATTATAAAATTGCAGTCTATTTAAGGATTTTAAAACTAATGAAGAATAGTTAACATTTTAAAATAATAGACTTTAATTAATTAGTTTCAAGAGATTAAACTAAATTTTTATACATGTTCGAATTGGTTAAATAATTACAACTACCGTCAGAAATAAGAAAGATAAATTTGTCATATAGCTGTTAAATGGATTTTGCGAAAAATCTATTTGAAAGATATTTGAACTTTATGTTACGTCTTGCAAGACGTCTTCTATGACGTCCCAGGAGGGGGAAACTTTAGTACTCAGTGGTGTGCCGTCTTTACTTCCTCATATGCTAAATAATATTTCTATCACTACCCCTAAGATTTTTATGTCTTTTAAAAAAGAGACAGGTATTTTACTGATTAGTAAAGAAGGTAAAACACATGTGACTGTTTTATTAAGGAGGTTCTGGCCAAGAATAAAAAATGTTAGGCAAAACTAATAATAATTACGAAGTTAACAACATAATATGTCCGTATGAATTTTTTTTATACTTATATCTGGACGTATTTTTGAAAAAAAATTAATTCCATAACCAAACAATGTTTCCTACTTTTTTTTATTCGAGTATTCTTTCTCGAAATACTTCTATAATTAACTAATTTTTAACTGTCATGAATTTTTTTTTAAAGTTTTGATTTATTTAAATATTAGTTTCAACACAATGGAATGACTGGCCTCTATGAGTCTACGTAGAATTGTTTTTTTCTATAGAATACATCTGGAAAAAAATATTGAAAAAATTCATACGCATATATATTGTTCATTAAATAGATGTAGTTTTCTTAGTTTTATCTCATTTATTTTTTATTTTTTGTCAGAACTTCCGTAAATTGTAGACATTTACTACATGAAGTTCTACGAGCCTTCACGCACTGCAAAGACTATGATACTAGCATTGATCAACTGTGTTTTCATGCGGAAGTAAAGAAAACAAGCACTAGTTAAGTGCATTTTGTCATAGAGGTACAATAATAATTTTTGGACTCACAAGAGTTTTTTTACGTGCATGTTTTCTAGTAGAAAAATCATTGGTCATCTTCTTACAAAATTATCCCAGGATACGGGAAAAAGAATTTCGACCATCAGAAGACGGATTCATTTATTTACTAGTTTATGTAAAGATGTATGAGGTAATTCTCATATTTTATTTATTTTGAGCTCATATCTTAGTTTGCAATGATGCTACACAAATTTTATAACCACCGAGATCTTAGTCATTCGATTTTCTCTGGGTTCGCCACTTTTTAGACTCCGTAAGATTTTTTTTTCTAACTAATTGATGGCAAGAAGAACTGTTACGATAAGCACTTAGCACTTTGGAGAGGGAAGGAAAGAGGAATGGGAGGCCATCCTAATACACGGAGAGGGGTAGGGGGTCATCAGTAGGTAATTTTGCTGCGAGAAGGTCTCCCATCACCTCCACGAGGAGCATTGCGTGGTAAGGTACTTACTTGCTCGTATGCATCGCACTGCCCGATAATCGAACCACGGTCTCCTGTGTGCCAATCCATTACCTAGCCATCCGAACCACCGCGCACTATACATAAGCATATGTAATGGAGAACTTTGAGAAATAGAGACTTTAACTTGTCAATCAATTTTCTCCCCCAAAAAAAGTGTTCCTAAAAAACCGACCACATTATCGCAAAGAGCAGGTAAAAATCTATCAACTTATATAGTTTGTTCATTTTTTTTTTAAGCTATTATCCTCAAACTTTCAGAAAGTTGAGCAAAGCACGCTCCACTAGAAAAATGCGTCATGAGCGTTCGCTGGCTGGCTCCGCTTGGATACACTTATGTATGAAATAAAAATATTTAACGATTATTAACACTTTAGAAAATGAAGAGATAGTAGAGCAAGAAGATGGAGAAATTGAAGATGGTAACATAAACTTGGATGGCGAAGAACAGCGTCTACCAGTTCCAGTAGCACACAACAGAAACAATGTTGAGGAAGAAATACCGCCACGCGAAGAAGTACCACAACAGCAGCAACAAGAAAATATAAATAATGTTATTCAACAACCACTGGAACACGGGGCCAGAAATGACGTAGTTTCACCTCATAATTTTGAGATAGAGCAAGAAGATGATGCAGAGCAAGAAGATGATGTAGAGCTTGAAGACGGAGACCAAAACTTGAATGGTGAAGACCAACATGTACCCGTTCCAGTATTACAAAATAGAATCGGCATCGAGGAGGAATTTCCGCAACGTGGAGAAGTACTGCAACAGCAGCAACAAGAGAATATTGAAAATGTTCAACCACCATCAAATCATGAGGAAAGAAATTAAGTAGTGTTACCTCATAATTTCGAAGAAATTTTGGATGAAGACGATGATGAAGAGGAAAGTGTTGTACGATACGACGCTCAAATTGAAGTGCAACCTCAAAGGCCATCATCTCCACAAGAAGAACGAAGTGAAAATGGTGACATTATTGATATTTCCAGCAGTGATGACGATAACAATAATGACTCAGAATCATCACTTACTACTGATAGCGAAGTAGAATTTCACAGAACGTACCGCAATGAATACGAAATCCCCGATGACAGTAATGATGATGTGATTAACTTTGTTGGTAATAATCAAACAGGTATAATTTTACATTAATTAGACCTGCTTTGACTACGAGATTATTAGTCTCGTTATAATAATTAATACAAGTTACACGTTTTACTTATAATTAAATTAAAAACGTGTATCTATTTACTTAAGTTCACTATTATTCATGTTAATTCATATTTTAGGATTCATAGAATATTATAATAAATTATTTTTTTAGGCAATGCAACCAACTCTGCCAACGAAATACAGGTCATTGATAATGTACCTGATCTGGGGGAAAACGACGACTGCAACATGAATGAGGAAAAAGCAGCGAGTTGTAGCAATACTGGTAATGTAATCATTTTCAAATTTCATCTTCCAAGTCATGCACTGTTATTTAAAACGTCACTGCTGCACTGTAAAATCGCTAACAATCATTAAGTGATAGTAATGTTGTCACTGGTGTCCCATTCCTTTAGGGTGATAATTGAAAGTAATGCGAAACCACCAATCTAAAAAAACCATGTTGATGTGTAGTTAAGATATAACTTTTATTTTTAGATGTATAGCTAGAAAACATAATTTATATGTATTTAAATTACTTTAAAGTTTATTGTATTGACGATTTGTTGTTAGTTATAAATTCAAACAAATTAGTTTCTAACATAACGGTAATTAATTTTAGTTGATACAACTCAGCCTCAAAAGAAGAGGAAAAGGAGAAGGCCGAAGAATAAAAATCAGAGCAGTGTAGAGCCAACGGTTAAGCACCGGAAAAAGACGAGAAGAGGGAAAAAAAAAGGTAAGTGAATTCCTTTAAAGTTAGTTTCAGCGTTCTTGCTTTAAAAAAAAGAATAATGTTGTCCCTAATTTACATACTTTCCTAATTTACATCATTTATAAAAAAAAAATCAAGAGTTATATTTTTTTACACAATTTGTTTCCGTGTTTTAATATTAATAGTAATTTTAGTTACTATAAAAAGTCGGATAACATGTTTATCATGGATTTATAACAGTAATATCAGAGATTAGTAGGGAGATTGCTGACTGCCATGCTACGGAGTGTGCCCACTTTTTTCCAGTGGTTCGAGCGCCCCGCCGCGGCCAAGCGGCCGAACCAGGCGCACATTTTTTTTTTATTTGAGCAGCACGGTAAGGGTATGAGAAGTGTGGATTCGCGTGGAAATGTCCATATAGGCGCACATTTTGGAGACGCGTGGAAGGGGTATACCGAATGTGCGCCTACGAGGAGAGGAGTGGAAATGTCGGCTATATAGCTGTATATATCTGAACGCACAGCCAAAGCAAGCGACGATACGAGTTTTTCTTTTTTGAGAGTCTTTTGACTCTGCAACCGAGTACTACGTATGTATATATTTAAC